CCGCCGCCAGCGCCATCGCCCGCGCCGCCTCTCGGGGCGGGGCCGACACGCCCACCCTGACCACGCCCACCCTGACCACGCCCACCCCGACCACGCCCCCCGATCCCCCCGAGGCCCCCCCGGTGTCCCCCCGGTCCCCCCGCCCCGTGCTCCCCCCGCCAGGGCCCCGCTGTCCCCCCGTGTCCCCCCCCTGTCCCAGATTCCGGTGGCCTCGGGGGGGCCTGGCAGTGTCACCGGCCCGGGGGAGCCGCGTGCCCCGGCGGGGCCGCACCGGGGGGGACACGGGGACACGGCCCCCGCCCCCCGCCACAAACCGGGGCCGCTCGGTACAAAACAGGAAGGTTTTTATTGCTGCTTTCCTTAAAAACGCTTAGAAACGCTGAGGGACCCCCAAATCCCGCCGGCCTCGGGCGCTGATCCCCCCCCAGGACCCCCCCAGGACCCCCGGGGGGCTGCGGGGGGAGGGGCGGGGGCTCTTTCCCGGGGGGCAGGACCCCCTCCCCAAATCATCCTGGAGCAGCGACTCAGTTCCACCCTTTATTTACATTTCTGTAGGAAAATGGGGGTGGGGGTCCCCCCTTCCCACATGGGGGGTCCTGGGGGGGGGGGACACCGCGACCCCTCCCCGCGCTGGTGAAAAGGGGGGGTGGTCCCTGACCCCCGGGATTTGCTCTGGGGGGGCTCGGGGGGGGTCCCAGCCCTCAGTCACTGTCCGAGCCCACGGCCGAGGAGCCTTTCCTTTTCCTCTTGGCCGGTTTGGGTTTGGTGTCCTCTTCCTCCTGCAGGGACGGGGACGGGGACGGGGACGGGGTCACCACGAGCACCCCGGGGCTCTGGGGGGGTCCGGGGGGTCCGGGGGGGCTCTCACCGAGGCGCTGCTGGACCCCGACTCCTCCTCGTTGTTGGGGGGCTGCGCGGCGCTCTTGCGGCTGCGGGGGCTGGCGAGCGCCGTGGCTTTCCGCCGGCTCTTGGGGGGTTTGCTGGAGGAATCCTCGTATTCCTCGGCCAGGGAGAACAGGTCCGAGAACCTGGAGGGGAGCACAGGGGGTCGGGGGGGTTTGGGGTCCCCAGAGGGGGTCGGGGGGGGTTTGGGGTCCCCAGAGGGGGTCGGGGGGGGGTTTGGGGTCCCCAGAGGGAAGGGAAGGACTCACTTCATCTTGTGAGCCTCGTCACAGCTGGCCTGGACGTGCTGCAGCGCCTGCAGGATCGGGGTCTGGCTGAAAACTGGGAGAGAGGCGGGAATGGGGTGGGAATGGGGTCAGGGAATGGGGTCTGGGAATGGGGTCAGGGAATGGGGTCAGGGAATGGGGAAAACGGGATTTGGGAATGCTGGGGTGGAGCTGGGAATGGGGTCAGGGAATGGGCCCTGGGAATGGGAAAAACAGGATTTGGGAATGGGGTCAGGGAATGAGGTCAGGGAATGGACCCTGGGAATGGGAAAAACGGGATTTGGGAATGCTGGGAATGAGGAAAGAGGGATCTGGAGGTTCAGGAAC